CTGCTGTTGTGAATACATAAATGTCTAGCCCTCAAATATAGTACAATATTCACTTTTTCAAATTTTGGGACAATGCAGTACTCCAGGCTCCTAGAATACAATACGTTCACTCTGATCTGGCCAACACTTGCGCTGTCCATGGTCCTGAACACCCTGTCTCCTAGAAATCATGTTGACAAAAAGGAGGTGAGCCACACAACAGGTTTGCAAGCCAATGGTATGATTTATTATAAAAGTAAAAGAAGAATTAAATGATCACCAATAATATGTGGTGTGGCAAAGTATGACTATCAGTTGTGTCAGCAGTGAATGGATGAGTGAGATGTGAGTGTGTGTTAATGAATTAGAATTAGAAAAAAGAAGAAACACAGGACAAACCCGGTAGGACATCGGCCTAGGAGGAGAGAGACAAAAGACTGATCAGTCCTGGCTAAATAAGCTCTGAAGGTAGAGCTGCCTAGGTGATTGCCCAGCCCAATCAGCCTCCGTGCCTGCAGCCTCCTGCAGGAGAAGGAAGCTGGAATGGGGGAGGGGCCATAACATCCCCCCCTTTAAGAACAAGGTTCTTCTAAGAACCTTGAATTTGGCATAGAGCAGTTAATACAATATACAACACTCATAAAATTCATATTACAATATCAAGCTAGTCCATAATTTATCAATACATTACCCATGTGCCATACTTTACTAATCAAACTGCATTCTCCAGCACGTCTCCCATCACACCAGTTCTGCAACCTCGGTACTAGAGGACCACTTTAAGAGGAGGAATAACAGGGAAATCAACGGAAGAGAGCAGAGGAATAGGAAAAAAACACATGGCATTAAAATGGCGTATGTCTAAATTGTATGGTTGAAGAAACAGAGCCTGTCTCTGCTTTCAACACAGGGCACTCATTCTTCCAATGCCCATTGGCATGACGACATCGACAGGTCAGTTTAAAATGATGCACTACACCCTCCAATACAGATAAAAACCCTGAGCTACCTGAGCAGAGGACTCCCCCCTATACCTATCCTAACTTCAACAATAACTAGCTAACTCTCCCCTAGTCTTCGTGCAGCGAGTTGTGGGGGGTACTTATGCACTTGAAACCAGAGGGGTGAAAAAGGGCAACCAGAAAACCAGTGACCCTCTCACAGCCACGGAGGTGCTCCCGAGCAAAGCTCTACCCACGTTCACCGCCACCTAAACTACCACACCACGAATTCCCTAAGGGAAATCTCTGTTAAGCCTAACAGGGGAAAGTACTCCTGCTCACACTACAAAACCCAGCTCAGGTCCAACAAAACAAATCAGACAGCAAAGCTAAGCCACTGACAAAAGGACCATGCACCTCTCTCCTAGGGAGCATTAACTGGCCTAACCAAACCTGAAATTTCTCACCTCACAGACTGGCAAGCATATACCAAAATAGCTAGACGCTAAACAAAGCATGCCAATCTACACCAAACAAACCTAGTCCATAAACCACTGGACCAGTAGACAGAAAATAGGGATCCAAAAATTACATAGAATACAGGTGCTGGTCATATAATTAGAATATCATCAAAAAGTTGATTTATTTCAGTAATTCGATTCAAAAAGTGAAACTTGGATATTATATTCATTCATTAAACACAGACTGATATATTTCAAATGTTTATTTCATTTAATTGTGATGATTAAAACTGACAACTAATGAAAATCCCAAATTCAGTATCTCTGAAAATTAGAATATTACTTAAGACCAATACAAAAAAAGGATTTTTAGAAATGTTGGCCAACTGAAAAGTATGAACATGAAAAGTATGAGCATGTACAGCACTCAATACTTAGTTGGGGCTTTTGCCTGAATTACTGCAGCAATGCGGCGTGGCATGGAGTCGATCAGTCTGTGGCACTGCTCAGGTGTTATGAGAGCCCAGGTTGCTCTGATAGTGGCCTTCAGCTCTTCTGCATTGTTGGGTCTGGCGTATCGCATCTTCCTCTTCACAATACCCCATAGATTTTCTATAGGGTTAAGGTCAGGCAAGTTTGCTGGCCAATTCAGAACAGGGATACCATGGTCCTTAAACCAGGTACTGGTAGCTTTGGCACTGTGTGCAGGTGCCAAGTCCTGTTGGAAAATGAAATCTGCATCTCCATAAAGTTGGTCAGCAGCAGGAGGTAGAGCTGCACAGGTGATTGCCCAGCCTCCCTGCCTGCAGCCTCCTGCAGGAGAAGGAAGCCGGAATGGGGGAGGCGTCGTAACAATATATTATAAAATCCTAAATACTTTGTGTTGACAAGTGTAATCATTGCCTGAATTATGAGACTGTGGTTCTTTGAGTGAATGAAACATTACATTTGTTTACTATGCTGTCACAGGGAGGGCAGTTGGCAAACTTTGAATCCCGGGTTTGTGTCTGGACCACTGTCTGTGGTTAGGTTTAGTTAATGAAAAATTAAGTCACGGCTCAGTCAAGGGTGTAGGACTGGGGGGACAAAGGGGACCGAGTATGCAGGGCCACATTTGAGGAGTGCCCGCAAAGATACTAGAATGAATAGTCGTAGATGTGAGGAGGGGCATATAGAGAATGCCTATTTACAGGGTTTTGTGCTATTCCCCTAAAAACAGACCAGGATCTTTCTTTAACCATAACCAAGTTCTGCCAGTCCCTACACATAATATGCTAGGGCTGTCCCCAACTAAGGATTTACACAGTCAAATCTGAATTGTTGAGGATTGCCTATAGTCGACTGATGATCGAATCTGTTTGTGTGTGTGTGTCGAGGAAGCGGGGTTTCCACACGGTAGCTCCACTTTAATCTTGAGAAGTTGCAGAGCTGCAGTCTCTGTTCACTTGTCACTGTAACTTACGCTGTACATTTCCAGCTAAACTGAGGCTGTTGACCATTTTCTCTCTGCTCTGCACGTCTACCATTTACGGTCTTGTGCAGAGGTGTGCATGTCTGCTGACGCACCGAGAATTTCATGCACATCGTGGCTCCATGCGTTTTTTTTTCTATTTTCTGTCTAAAAAAAGACATAACATTCTATGTGTGGTTCATCAATGATGATAAATGATCCGAACGTCCCGCAATTTCACACAAAACGCCGGCACCGCTTCAGTATCAACATTTTTACAACTTACTAGATACATTAGCATATCCTCATTATGTTAATTGAAAACAAAATTCATTATGTTTCCCTCAAAGAGTATTTGCTGTTGCAAATTAGTTGTATATAAATGGAATTCCTAGGAGACAGTGCTCTTCTGAAACAATAGCGGCGCTGTCCATTGTTCTCAAACAACAGCTAAGCAATAATCGCATGTATCTTGGACAAAAATTTGACTTCTTCCAGTATTTTTAAACTCCCTCCACAGTAAAAAAGTCCAGTTACTTAAATGACAGACACAAAGTCTAATTTTGTCATGGTTTTGTATTTGTTATTTCCTTTTTTATTTTTTTTTAACCATTCCTCTTGTGTCCATTTACTTCACTTCCTGTCTGTGTTTTCTTGTTCTGTTTTTTTTCCATTTATCATTTATTCATCCATTCCTGTTTTTCTTTGTTACTTACCTCTCCTGTCGTTTCTGTTAAGTTCTCGCGCTGCTCTTGTGTTTTTACACTCGCTTGATTATTTGCTCCACCCTTATTGTTTCCGCCTGTGCCTTGATAATCACCTCCCTCTTCTATGTTGAAGTGTTTTCCTATTGTCTGTAGTCAAATCATCTTTATTTCTCGTCACCTAAATCGTGTACCTGCATGTCTCCCGAGTTCCCCTGTGTTTTGTTTCCGTCTTTCTGAGCTTGGACTTCTGTTGACTACTGGATTTTGTATTTGGTTGCCTTATGGACTTGTTATCATCTTTTTTCAATAAATATCATAAACTGTACTTGCTCCGTCTCAGTGTCCTGCGTTTGGGTGCAAATCCCTTGTGTTGTCCTGTGACTGCATTTTGCAAAAGTAACAAATCTTTAATAGCACATTAGCCGAGTAACATTGAATACTGGCTCCTACTCTGTTTTTCCACACCTTGCTAATATGAAAATGCTAAGTTGCTACAAATTCTAATACTCAGTTAAAAACTGGGGTTTGGACCGATGCAGACATTGAGGCAGAGCAGCCTTCAATTCTAATAGTGTCCAGAGGGATAATCCTCACTTTTTCAAACAGTGTTTTGATAATAAAATCAAAAAGGTTCAAACAGGCTCACGGGGTAGTCAGGCAAGCATGGGTCAAACTAGATAGACAGTCCAAAAGGCAAACAAATCCAAAAGAGAGCAGGTAAAAATACAAAACCCAGAAGACAGGCAAGGTCCAGGGATATAGTGCAAATAAGACTAGGCACAGCAGGAACGCTTGAACAAAGAAACGATGGAGACGAAATAACAACAGACAAGGGGAGGACAGAGACCAAATACACTAGTGAGGGGAGGTTTCCTAGACATGGGTAAAACTAATTAAGATAGGGCAGACAATCAAACAGGTGGGAAAACCAAAAGCCAAAACAATACTGAAGATAAAGTTATATTTGCCCAGTAACACTCTTTCACTCTGTGTGGCTTTGTTATATATTTATTTCACTTATTATCTTATAGCATTATAACACAGTCAAAGTAGTGTTATATGATGAAATCAGAAAAAAGAACCATACATACTGTATGCTGTGGGTTCATTTTACAGCCAAGAATCTGGAATATATCATGAATATTTATATCCACTTTAACAACTTTCAGCACCCTGTTCCGTAGGTTGTGTGATTTGGGCTTATGCAACAAACAAACAGGTGGCGAACAAAGCAAATGCCATCATCTCTGAGCCCTGCCCTTCCTCACATTCTGTGCTTAACGTGCTACCATCTGCTCTTCAGTCTTACAACAGCTGAGAAAAACAGGTCAGAGGAGTTCTTTACCTCTTGCTTTGGGCCCTCACAATGTTGGTGAACGGAAAGGAAGGCTGTGATCGGTTTTCAGTCATTATGTCAACAACAGGCGTATGATGATTGTAATGGTGACGATTTGCATTATGCCTCCATTGTGAAACAAAGCATTAACACCTAGCATTGGCAGCCGAGTATCTGTTGTTTCCTGTGCCTGTGAGTAAGGTTGCTTTTAATACTAGCTGTGAAACTAATTGCTCATCGGGGCAAGTACAGATAAACAAAACTTAGTGTTTCTATTGCATCAGTTTTTCCAACAAAAGAAACCTTACCCATTACCTTTTATTTAAAGGCCCCGAAAATGTATTTTCTCAATCAGTTTCTTAAAATCAATCTCAATCATACATGGAGCACAATATTGTTTTGCTCTACTCCAAACAGTTTTGGTTATTTAAGTTGAGATTTTTCCATTTGTGTTCTTGTTCTTGTGTTTCACTGGTTTATAGAGGGCAGAGCTTAGTTAAGAAAAGGTTATGTCACATACTTCCGTGTACCAATCAGAGTTTATCACGGTTGGGCCAGGTGACATCGCTTGAGGCAGTTTATCAGATTTCATGCACATCCTTTAACACATTTAACATTTACTGCTCTTCAACCCTTAAAATTTGATTGGATTCTCACATATAGGAGTGCAATGCGAAGCGGTAGAGAAATATGGAGTTGTAGTAATGAGTTATAAAGAGGGACACACTGGTTTTCCATGTAACCCGTTACATGCAGCTATTTACAGATCACCTTGCAAATACAAATGGCACCCAGCAGAGCCAATAAGAACACTTTTTATAAGGTGTACTTATGCCCTGGAAATCAATACAGCCCCAAATGCTTCTGTTCTCCACCATTTTGTCAGTAGGGTTGGGTAGCTGAGTGGACTCAGATGTCAGTGATAAAAGGGTATATTATTGACAAATGTACAAATAATGTGCAATGGGAATCTACAGATGGGGAAGCTCTGTGAGAGGTAGCTCAAGCTGGGCAGGCAGGTGGAGATAGGGCGAAAACCAAGCTACATTGGAAAAACAGAACTCCATGACCCAAAAACCTAAAGCACAAGCAAAGACAGGATGTTAGAAAAAACTCGAGCAGGAAAATCTGAAAAACTAGTCCAAACACAATGAGTCTGTAGCATGTGTACCACGGGAAGTGAAAGGATAATCTGCCAGAGAATGAAGTGCAGAGCCAGGGTTTATGAACTGCAGGCATAAAGTGGGATGACTCTCAGGTGTGTAGCCACAGGTGGTTTGCTGATTGGACCTGCAAGGAGAGTGAAGCACTACTCCCAGACACACACACGCTGGAGACAGACAGGAGACAGACAGAAACAAAAGGAGGGGAAAATATACAGTAGAAAACATTGGGAACTGATAGCGTGGCACAGCCAGATCATGACAGTAGGAGGCAACAGTTAGTAACAGAGTTTAAAAATCAGGCTTACTTTGGCTCCATCATGGAGAATCATCCAAATCGCTGTGAGAAGCTCAACAGGAGTCAGGCCAGACAGAGTGATGTGTTTCTTAATGTCTAACAGGTGCCATGTTCTCATTATCAAACCCATAACAGCTGGGAACTACTGGAAAACAGCCTCATCATCAGGATAACTCTAAGGTGCAGTGTTGTTATGTGTTCATAGTATGAGTGCGTATGTATGTACCTGCACAGGTGAATACATATACTAATCTAATACCTCTTTATATCTGCATGGCTGTGTATGTGTGTGCATTTGGCACTGAAGCAATGTCAATGCTCCATTACTTTTTTTTATTGCAAAGCACCTCTTACACATACACAATAATATGATAATCCATGATATTTTAGGAACCTGGAAATGAAAGACAACATGTTTCCCCCAACTTTTTTCCACTTAAGCACCGCTGCTCCCTCTCACCTCCTTCATTTTTACCTCCATTTTCCTGGTGTGACTCGCCCATCTCAGAAGTACTGAAATGTGTGAAGTGTGTGTGGAATGTAAATGGAGTGAGGAAGCGGCGTGTTGCCCTGTCACTCTGTGTGGCCTTGTCACACTCTGGGTGTGTGGAGTGGCTCTGACATGTCCTCTGGCCCTGCCCATCAATTATAGATGGAACCAGGTGCCAGAGACCGCATACGCCAAACACAACACAATAGGGGCAATAGGGCTGGGTCTGGTGACAATCACAGCACAAACAAATATACCTGAACAAACAAAATTAAAACCAGAAAGGAAAAGTGTCATTTGGGGAGAAATTTAAAAAGTTTAGGATCAAACCAACTGATCATTCCCTAAGCCCAGCTCCTCTTGGTTATTGTTGCTACGCCTGGCAAAACACAGGCAGTTTACAATAATGGTTAAAGACGATCCACTGAGGTAGATAAAAGCATGCTTCTCATTTCTAGGAGATGACTGTCAAATTGAAATGACAAAATGACATCTGTTGCAACCAGATATTATCAGCTGCAGCCACCTAGCTAATTACAAACAGTTGTCTCGACTCCTGTCCTGTTTGTCCCGAAAATTAGACTAAAAGTATAACAGCATAATAAAACATTCAATAGCCCTACTGATCATTGTGAAACATTCTTTTGGTGTTCAGGTCGCCACTGATCCGACTCCCCATTTGCTACAGCTGGGAGTGCATATATATATAAAAATTATGGTTCACATTGGAATAAATTCTCTATATATTTGCACTACTACAACTGAAAATCTTGATGATTTTAGATTCTGTCTGTCAATTCCAAGGACAAGTTAATCTTACAACACAGATAAAATATCAAACATTAAAGCTGAACTCTTGCTAAGGGACATCAGTCTAGTACAAGTTGAAAAGTGAAAATGCTCCCAAAATGCTTCAGGGTTCACATGAAAAGTTGAAAAGTAATTATGCAGTGTACTTCTGTGTGTGCAGGATTATTTTAACTTTCTACCTTACACTTTAAGATAAATAAGGATTCTTATACTCAGTATTAGTGCCTGGACAGTTTTTGAAGAGTACCTTGTTTGCTCCTCTGATTTAAGTCTATTTTAAACACAGAAGAATGCACGCACATCCAAACCAACCTGTGGGTGATGAAACAAAGAATGACCTGCATTGAGCAACAATGAATCCAACTAGGTGGTATCATTAATTGTGACGTAGCAAACTCTGAGGTCTCAGAGCTGATCGAATGCACCTGTGATAAATAGATGCATCTCTACAATGTAAGCCTCCTAATACCTGTGCCCTCAACACCTTCTACAGGGCTTCAAAACTATTCAGCGTGCATATAATTCTTTGGTTTTCATAACAGAGTAACTTTACAGTGAATGTCACTTTCATCTCTTAAAGAAATGTAAAAATAAAACAAATATATAACATCAGCTTTTCATTTTATGCTGCCATATATGCAAAATGTTAACCTCTAATACTGTCTTAAAGGTTTTCATTTAAAGCTGTTAAGTTCAGATCACACTATATTCAATTGACATAAGAAACTGATGAATGAAGAAAGTGATTTTATTTAAAGTAAACTTGAAAGGTTGCAAATGTAAAAGTTGTTATATGACTTGAAGTAATGTATTGTAACAGTAAATACTGTATAATGACAGAACCTATGTATAAGAACCCAGTGATAATTTGAAATCAGTAGAGTCCAGGTGTTTGAGTACAACAAAAACAAAAGGCTGAACAAAGCAGTGAGCTGCGGGATCTGGCAGGGCCACAGTGGAAGCTGGGACTTCTGTAGAGCTGGACTCTGGTGCTTACTGCTGCTGTTTATTGATATGTGCAATATTAATCTTGCTGCTGGACACCACTTGAACACTCTTACTGTATATTTATTATTCTGCTCTTATGTTAAATTTATGTTGAACTACTAATATAATTTAAACGAGTGAGTTATAAAAATAAATTCACCCCCCTCACAGTTGTCACGAAGGGCAAAATTTGCTATATACACTAAAACCATCTTTTGTACCAGGCTGTAAACATGTTTTATTCTGTTGTTAAGTTGGCCATTTTAACATGGGGGTCAATGGAGATTGACTCCCTTTTGGAGCGAGCCTCAAGTAGCCACTCGATGAATTGCAGTTTTAGGCATTTCTGGTTTGGCTTCACCCAGGAAATTGGAAGTTGACTGTTTGGGTTAATTGTGGCAGTTTGAAAACACAATGTGACTGTCACTTGGGCAGCCTTTGTCTTCATCAGAACAGCACGATTTCTCCTCAAGTAACTTTTGCCTAGTGGATGCTCTCTTCCTCCAGTTTGACCTGTCTTGAAAAGGAGAATGAAAAGCTGGAATGATGTATGCAGGGAGGCTTGGCAATCGTCAAAGCATCAATCAAATGTTTTAATGCCTGTGTGTTCTATTCATAGAGAGTCATTAATCACAGAGGAGGGTGTCTAGCCGCAGCCTCAAAAGAGCCTGTAGCGACGATGGAGGCGTAAAACTTTTTTTCTCTCTAAAACTTGAAACTGACCTCCTTATCTGTGGAGAATGAATCTGAACAAAATGTTGGCGTTAACCTTCAACAAGTATGTGTGTGTGTGTGTGTGTGTGTGTGTGTGTTTCTTGAAATACATTCATAAATATTATATGTCCACTTCCCCACTAAAATGCTCTCTGCTTTTCACATCAGTAGTGTTTTTGTAGAGATGGGAGAAAGTAGACACACACACACATACACACACACCCCGCAGCTGTGCATGTTTTTCCAGTTGACAGTATATCGATCAGCCTCTTGTTACATTATGATAGCATTTCTCACAGTATTATTCACACCATTAGACAGACAGAAAATAGCACCATTGTGAATTCAGCATCACTCTGGTGCCTGTGGGGCTTTAATGCCTGTCCAGATGGATTTCCTGAAATTAACATTTTCAAAGTTGCTCAGCAGTTTTACTCAATATTAATTCATAACAGCTACTAAGAACAAGACTAGAGGACAACAGGAAATTCAAACAAACATTTTCACTTTTGGTGCAAACTCAACAGCTAAGACAGCACTGAACTATAGCTGCATTAAAATATTTATGTAATGAACAGTGATGCATTGCAAAGGTGATGACTGCTCTTTTTAAATATAAAATTATCTCAATAAATATCACATTTATATCTAAAGTTATTTAGATATTTAGTTATACTATCTACAGTAAATCATCTGAAGTTTGCTAACATTAACCACCAAAAGTTACGGATCATACCTGACAAAGCAAGGCTAGAGCAGCTAAACCCTGAGTATACAGAACTGAGCAAGGGTGCATAATTATTGCTTATGAATTCAGCATTTCACTTGTAAGACTAAGACTCAGTCTCACTTTAATAATACAACAAACCACATACAAGTTTCATCATGATGTGTTGTTAGCTAAGTTGGGTGTTAATGTATATTAAAAAATGTATATAAAAGGTTTTGGTTGTAGACACCAACCAGTGCAGGACATTTGTCTCTCCTTTCTGACAGTGAGAGTAATTACACTACATGCGTTTGACTTAGTGAGGCATTTTGCAGCGCTGAGTTAACGTGAAGCATGCTGAATTAACACAAGGTGTGCTGGTTAGAAATTTTGTTCGATGTTCACCCATGCTGCAAAACATAACCAATTCACATAACATTAATATCTCGTGGGAGCAAGGTTGCTCCAGTTGCTTTTCTCCAGTTGCACCAAGTTGGAACCACATTTTGCCTGATCTGATCAGTCATTGTTCTAAGCTCACAGTAACCTCACACACAAGTTGAATGTGTCTGACTTGATGACTGTGTTTTTATACCCCACCCCTGCAGTCGCCTGCAACTCACATATGATTATCAAGTTGGCCCAAGTCAGCAGCAGTCTTGTCCAATGCACCTATTGTCAACACATGCTTATGACTTTACCCAAATCAGTAACATGGCCATAGTTACAGCCCAGCTTACCTGTCAGGCGACAGACAGGCAGGCTCTGCACTATGGCTCTGCTGCTGTTCCTATGTTGCTCCCCCTTCAGCTCTGGCGAACCAATCATTGCTGGTTGGCATAAAACATATCACTACCAGTGTGCCAGTGCGGCAACGTCGCCTCATCACCACATTTTAAAACTCTAGTAAATTGCGAATACAGAGATATTTACGTGGCAGTAACAGGCTTAATCAGCATTGTGTCAACTTGTTTGGCATGGGACTGAATGTGTCAGACGTTCATTTACAGTATCTCACAAAAGTACAGAGTACACCCCCAACATTTTGTAAATATTTGATTACATCTTTTCATGTGGGAGGCACAGCGGTGCAGTGGTTAGTGCTCTCGCCTCACAGCGACAAGGTTGCAGGTTCTTCCGCGGTTCTTCCGGTGCTTCCTCCCACCGTCCAAAGATATGTGGACTAGGCTAAATTGTCCTCAGATGTGACTGGTTGTCTGTGTGTGGCACTGCAATGGACTGGCGGTAGTGTGTGACGGCGTAACCGGAGGGGGTATATAAGCACGCCAGGAACACATAGGACAGATTAGCTTCTTTCTATTC